TATTACTGTTCTAATGGAAGTCAGATGCACGGCACATACCGAAATTCAGTCGATTCAAGGGTTCGATCAATGTCAAATGCTCTATGCTTGACTTGTTACAAGCTGAGATGCCGCAGTCATGGGAGAAGATGAGTAAAAACATTCCTCGGGAAAATGTAGAAAGGAATGTAACATGGAACACATTTCTGAGCTGTATTTTAGCACGTCCCGAACAATCACTAGGCGCTCAAAAGCTTGTTTGAGGAGCTGAATCTCACCAGAAATACCAGGTTCGCTTGAAACTTGGCATATGGGAAGGAAACACTCCTTTAGACAGCAGTTTTGCTTGGTAGTCTCGAGTATGAAAATTATCACAGGTAAAGCTGCTAATGAGCAAACTGACAGGCCCATTTTTTATCGATCGAGAGAAACATCGAAGTATCTAGGAAACTGTCAAAATATGAATTTTCTGAAAAATCAGAAACTCTAGAGCGCAATTTTCAGATATTCACCAGCACCACCACAAACACCTGTAGGCCCCAGTGCTCCGATCTTTCTGAAGGAGTTACGGCACCAGCCGCTGAAACCTTCGGAGGTTATGGTGATGGAGGCAAGAGTTGCAGGTAAGCCCAAAAGTGCTCAAATGATGATACGCCAATTTCCCTTCTTTCGACAAGTGCCACAACCTGTACTTGTCTGAATGACTGCCTAACCTTAAGCTCAACAATAGAATGAAAGCAGCTAAGGTGAAAGAGTTTTTTTGGATAGACTTGCATATACAAACCGGAAGAAGGTTTTCTACTATATACTTGATTTTTAAGGGATATACTGACGAGTAACTGGAATATTTTTAGGTGTACCGCATCCTCAAGTCGAATGGCTGAAGAATGGGAAACCTTTTCAAAACTTTAGGTTTGCAATTATGTTCAAATTGCATAAGGGAACCCTTCATAATAGAATCAGGTAATAGACAGTCCGCTGGGTCGATAATGTGGTTTCCTTCTTGGGGAAGCATCGTTCCCAGCTTCATCATCCTTCTTTTGCCGTAGAATCTGTTCTGTACTTCACGCAGTTTCCGGTGCTAGAGTTTTTCGCTGGATCAATTTACTGAAACATTTTCATCGGGTTTCTATCGGAAGTATAATAAACGAGTCCCCCCGAGAGGATGAAAAAAAGCTGTTCTAAACAACAAAAACAACAAACGCAACTTCATATTTACTATGTTATGTAGGGCAAAAATCGAACACGATCCTCAAACGGGTATTGTGTCGCTGACGATATCACAGATGTTCAATGACGATGTTGGCGAGTATACGTGCCGTGCCAGCAATATCCATGGCGAAGCGACATCCGTTGCTCAGGTAGGCTCTGGGATCAGCCGATATTCCGTGGTCCAAAAAGAGGTGCTTGAATGATTCAGTTACTTACTCGCGAACAATACGACCGATGGTTTGCTGAAGAACAAAGTCGACTAACTCGAGATCGAAGGCAAGCTCAGGTTCGCCAGAAAAATCCCAAGACTTACACTTAGATTAAAATTCTACACGAGTTGAGTAATGACGCATCAAGTTAAAAATTTAATTAAACTTAAAA